GTCCTGTCTTTGGAAGGTTAAAAGGCAGCTCAAAGTAACATGGCTAAAGCAGAACGCTGGTGCCCTTCAGTCCCTTTTCAGTGTTTCCTCTGTAACAGGGAATCACCATCCTTATTGTACTTAAGCCTAAATAGGAAAGGTGTCCAGGATTCCTTTCTTCCATTATTTTCACATCCAGTCTGTCAGCAAGTCTTCTGACACTTCTAGCACCACCTCTGAAATAAGTTTCCACTCTGTGGACTACCACAGTGCCTCCTAACATGTCTCCATGACTATGCCATGTCCATAAATCCATCTTCTATCCAGCAGCTCTGGGATCTTCCTAAAATATAAGTCAGTGATGCTGCTGTAAACCCTCTAATGGCTTCTCATTGAACTTAGACTGAAATCTAAACTCAGTGACCAGGCTGGCAGGCCCAAACCTGCTTGCTGACCTTTTGTCCCCACACAAGGGCAAGTATGTTAATACTGATTTTTCTGATCCATAAGTGTGGCATATCTTTTCATTTACTTAGTTCTTTTTTGATTTATCTTCACAGTGTTTTGTGAGTTTTGAGATACAAAGCTTGCTTATCAAAGTTTTTCATATTTTCATGCTATTATAAAGGTTTTTCTTTCAATTTTCACTTTTTTAGTAATATTTATATATAATTATCATATTGTTGTACTGGGGGTACATTGTAATTTTTTTAGTATTTAAACCACACCTGGCACCCAGCAGGTGCTCTTGACTGGCTGACTCACTTCTGAGCCCCTTTACCAAGGGAGGGACCATGATTGGAGAAGGGATGTGTACAGTACTGACTACCAGTGGTCTCTGAGCTCACAATGCTTGAGTCACAACCGTCCCTTCTATGTGCACAGTCACTGTGGCAAGTCACACCATGTGTACTCCACTTTTTTCCTTCCCTCCCACCCCCCGCCTCTGCCATGTACTCCACTTCTTGATGGTACACAGTCCCTAGAGGTTGGGTGTAGCTTGTTCTTGGCATTCTCAGTGCTCAGCTGGAACATGGAGCTTGTTTGTACAGAGAAGCAGTGGAAAGCTACAGTACTCATAGTACTACCGTTCAGCTACATTATGGCTCACACAGACTTTTAAGCCCTAAAAGGACATTTAACCACCATTTTGTGGCATTCTGGCTTTGGAAACATGTATTTCAGGCTTCCAAATAACTAATTTGGAAGTACATTTTTAGAACCCAGTAATTTGGAAGTTGGGTACTCCATGTAAACATACTTGGGCTGTTGAGTAAATCTGAGTGTGCTACATAGATTCCTGAGTTAAAGATGAGAGATGGTGGCAAACTATTAGTGTCACTTTTTAGAAAAACATTGCCCTTGATGCTAACCCCAAACGGGAGTGCTCATGTTCTTCTTACCTGCCCTCCTCCCCATGCCATATTTATTTCCGAATCTCAGATCTCAGAGGTGTTCCATAAAGTCAACACTTCCAATGTTTCATCTCTTCATAGCTATGCTTTTTTTTTTTTGTGTGTGTGTGTGTGAGAAAGAGAGACTGCTCCCATATTAGTTCCTTGGGGGAACTCCTGGGCTCAAGTGATCCTTCCACCTTAGCCTCCTGAATACTGAGATTGTAGGTGCTCACCATCATGCCTGGCTTGTTTTGCCTTCTGAATTAGTACCCAATTCTGGAGAAGGAATACCATCAGACTTACCATCCATGCCTCTCTTAGGTCTCCCTTGTTATTTCACTCTAATCTATTGCTCATAGTGATAAAATCCTGAGAGAAGCTTATTGTTTTTTAGGGAGAGCATACTTCCTGGGCAGCAGAAACATGGCTGTTTCCTTTTACTCATTTTCTTGGGTCTCCTTATGTTGCCCAGACTGGCCTTCAACTGTTGATCCTTCTGCCTCAGCTTCCTGAGTGCTGCTGCCACTACACCGAGGATTCTTTTACTATTTCTTATGACCCATGGCATAAGGGAAAAGGCAGCTGAATCTCCCAGTTAATCACTTGGGGAAGCAGGCTGCTAGAGAGTTTGTGGGAGAGAGAGGAGTTATGCTTTGGTCTGTTTTGTTGTAGAGGCAGAGAAGAAGCGTGAGGCCAAGCAGCGAGCTAAGGAAGCTCAGGAGCGGGAAGTGCGGAA